TTATTGACTAAGACCTGATATGCGCTCTCTACGCACACTAAAACAGGGAGGCTGAATATAGTGGCGTATCGGACTTTCCACGCCTTTATAGGTGTCGTGATCTATAAAATAAAACAACATCTTGTACGAATTGGTAATGAGATGATTGCGCAGCCCTAAGCAAACTCTGACCTGATGCGTTATAGCAGAGAGTTGGTGTTTGCTTGGGATGGAGTGGAAGAGAATTAAGTGCAGACATCTGTCGGTTTGAGAGTGTGTAGGATTATGATTAATCGGTGAGTTGAGATTTAGACCTGGATGCTGATGTTATTCTCGACTGAGATCCGAGAACTGTGTTGGTACGGATATAGGTATCTGTCCGTTTTGGTTTCCGTGTGGTGGGTGAACTGAAGTCAGACTGAAGAAATGAGAGTAGAGAGAACGAGTTATGTTTATCAAAGTATCCAACCAAAGAAATCCCACCCCTGTCTTAATTCATGTTACTTTTTTTCCCCAGAACATTTGATTTATTGATTGCAGTTAGAATATAAAAAATAGTACCCTAGCTTTTAGTTTGATTATTGGACTTAGGTCAGAAACACGCAACTCCAAATGAGTGCTAATGTATATCCGTGTTTGCTGGATATGTTAATTAACAACTATTTTCGTATTTAACGTATAACTTGATAAGGTAACAATATGTCAACATTGTGCTTAAGGTTTGTTGCCCTGCCCCTAAGTGGCCAAATAATCTATTTAAAAGACCAGTGTGTAGGATTTAGTAGCATCTATCGGTGAAGTTGCAGATTACAACTAACTGGACACTGCTCGCATCTCTATTTGACGACCTGAGAATGAGAACATGTGAACTACCATGGACCTAAACACGCGAAAAACACATAAGGCCCTATCTAGATCCAGTTTGGTATGTTCGTTCTGAGCTACTGTAGAAACATGGCACTTCAACATGGTGGACTGAAGGCGACCTGTGGCGTCTGTAGATAAAAACTTCTCATACTAAGGTAACGATAATACAACAATTTTTATATTCAGGTGATT